AGAAAAGAAAGGGAGAGAAAGAACTGAAGATCCGGCGAGACGGACAGGTCCATTCATACTTCAAAACAAATGCGGCACACACCTCCGCTTGGCGTCGTTGATGTTTCTCTTTGTTTTGAAATTTTACTGCGGACCAAAATTAGTCATTTTAGACAGTTCACTCAATGTTAATTATAATGAAAAAACGTTTGGTATTACACAATCGTGGCTTGCGAAAAAATTCAAAACTTTATCGCAAGATAAAGGAAAAAATTGGAAAGAAAAAAACGCAAAGCCAAAGTAATAACAAAGAAGAAAAATGAATACAAAAAAGGCATTGGAAGAATGCTGCTGCTGTTTCCGCCCACTTGTACGAGGTGAAGGGCAGTCTCATGATCGGAGGCCGGAAGACAACGCGGTGAAGACTGCGCCCACGGTTTTGGGACACTCCAGCAGCGCATGCCGGCTCACTGGATGGAAAAATAAAAATAAAATGAAAAAGGCTACAGGGATGTGGTGGGAGGGCACGAAAAGAACGATCCCGATTGAATCAAAAATGAGAAACAACCGAAGCAAACACTCAGACTACCAGTTTGTATAGAAATACAGAAAAAAACATGAGAGCAAGAGATAGGCACTAGCGTTGCAGCAAACTAAATGCGATCATATCCGCTTGCCCTTTCAGAGTTTATACATGAAACAAATAAATTGCAACAATTGTTTCCCTCTGCAAATTTCCACACCAAAATCCACATCACCCCTAACAGAAAACAATTCCCCTCTGACACTCTTGTTCCCATGGGCCGCGCCCGTGAGAAAGCCCGCCACCCCGTCACGCGTGTCGTTGGGAAGTTCCTTTGCCGTTGGGGGCGGCGAAGCGTGTGCCCGTTTCTTTTCTTTTTTTCATTTTTAAACCATCGGAGATTGCAGCATTTACCCTCCGGCACCCCCATTATCAGGGATATCCCGTGAGATTTTTCCATTTGCGCACAACACCATGCTGGATCAAGATCTCGCGAACGCGAAATGCTGTAATTGGGCGCCCCTTTGGGTGAGGAACGTCACACCTGTCATCATTCATCTCGCAAAATTCCCGTAGCAATGGGAGCAAGATTCATTTCTAAACTGTTACCCCCTCGCCGAAAATGAAGAGTGTAACCCAAGGGGCGGGTTTAGAGGGCAGCGCAATCGTTTGGGTGAGACCCCAAGTGTGTAACGGATGCGTCTGCTCAAATAAATACTCCCTCTTTTTTGTTTTATTTTATTGGAAACAAATGGGCGCCAGAGACCCCCACTTTAAAATTTGAACTTGGACACGGCGCCTTCATCAAGTAGGGGAAAAAACGGGATGAGGTGCGACAGAATATTGATAGAGAATCGTTTAGACTGTTTGAATGGAATTATTTTCTTTTTTTTTTCTGTGTGTGTGCGCGTGGGCCGTCGTGTGAAATGCATTTCCAATAATGCAGGAATACTTCTCACTCCGTGCAAAGTTATAACTTGAACAAGGCAGTGCCTGGCAGAGAGTGTGGGTGCGTATACGCGGTCAAAAGCATACCGTCACAGTCAAGAAAATTCTGATGATTTACTCGCCCATTAAAATCCACATCAATGACGATGAGTGTGGATCACTAGAAAGGGTATCCTATCCAATATTATCCAATCATACTCCATTTGTTTGAATAACCAATAATAATAATAAAACGAGTTCCGCTACAGCAGAAACCATGGGAAGAAATAACCATAAAATTAATATTGGTCACAAACTATTTTCTTAATGTTACGGTATTATTTTTTTCATTTTCCCTCTTAACCCTGTACCAAATCTCTTCCTTGTTGTTGTTTGTGTTGTTTTTCTGCATTATTAATGCTTGGAATTCGCATGCAGAAACACACTGAGAATTCTTTGCAATATGAGGTGTATCCACTCACTTTATTTCACTTCCCTCTTCGCCCCAGCACCACAGCGCAGACTCCTATTAAGTATTTTCCGCAACGCTGGTAAATTAACGTGGACAGTTCACAATTTCATCGACCCTAGGAAAAATATATACAGTTGGGAGTAAATACCCACACATAATTCTGGAGAATGCTGCAGCGTCGTAGAAAGAGAATGGCAATTTCACCAGGCCCCATGCAAACACTAGAATTGCACCACCTTTTCTGTCACAACTTGTAGGTGAGAGGAAAAAGAATAGAGAAACGAAAATAAAAGAATAAAGGCAACAACAAACAAAACACTCTTAGAGCAAGAAATAATGGCAACATTTGTAAGAAAGTAAAAAAAAGAAAGGAGAAACAAATATTTTTGACTTTGTCTGGGTAAACCCTGCATTCCCCACCCCGTTTTCACAAATAAATCCCGATAATTTTTCCGGTTGTTTTTACCAAATAAATAACAGAACTGACGAAACGCAAGTGCTGAGAAGTCCTTTTAACCCGCCTTTCGTTCGAAACAGTGTGGGTTTGGTTGGGTGGGTCTCCAAAAACTTACGTTTGCAGTCTGTAAGATGAGCAAAAATAAATTCGCAAGACATTTATTGTCAGTATTGAAATTGTTTTCATAATAAATAACAAGATTCTACCATTCTTTTCACAAGATATCAGGAAAAAAAAAATAATGCGTTTTATCAATTAAATTCATTTTCTACTTTTTGTTTTTTCTACCATGGTCTCCCCATAAAAAATTTTTTCTGAAAAGTCCCTGTATTGATTGACCAAATGAGCATAAAAAAGTAAAAAAAGATAAATATATATTCACTATCTCTATTAAAGAAAATGAAAAAAAAAACTTTTTTTTTTTTTTATGACGGTATCCACCTCAACGTACCTAAAATGTTTTTCCCAAGTCATCACGAAAAAATAATGAAACAGAGGGGGTGCACTCAACCACACACCTTTTTTTTTTTTTGGCATGCTCTACATTTGCAGAATGCCCATATTTTCCTTTCCCCCGTACATCAATTAAAAGATAAAAAATAAATACATATATGACTTTTTTTTCCTCTCTACGGTTATATTTTTATTTCATTTTTTTTTTTTTTTTTTTTACACATTCACACTTCAAAAAAGAAGCAGCGGCAATACGGTGTGAAGAGTAACTGCCAAAAGCATTACCTTAATAAGGTGTGATCCTGCTGTATGCCACGCTGCATCCCCATTCGATTCATGTACAGTATCCATCTCGTAGAAAGAGACTCTGGCCGAGAGTGTTGCGTTTATGTTGTAGGAAAAGAGGGCAACTCCAGAATAGTCTCTGGGAACGTAAACACGACCCGTCAACGATTCCAGGCCACCGTCCTTGAAGACCTGAACGATGGTGTCATCCACAAATACTCGCAGTTGTACCCTCGTGCCATTTCCAACGAGAGGAGCTCGGCCGGTCCAGGTTTCGTGGAATCCAGTCGTGCCGGATTTGCCTCGGTCCAGAAGAAGACTGGGTTCCCACACACGACCTGTTGTGGCAGAGTTATTAGCGGCAACAACGTCACCATAGGTACTCATAAGTGTACACCTCCACACAGCCGGGTCCTCTGTTACATTTACCGTTGTCCATGCGACACAACGACGATCATCTTGACAATGTAATGCGCACGACTCCTGGTCTCCATACTCGTGCACGGCCAACACCCTTCCTTTTTGGTCAAACCCTGCACCCATATTTGCAGTGGGAGGCATCGTCACAGCGAATCGAGTGTATGTGTTGCTATCCTTGTAGCGTACGAGTACACCAAAGGATGGGACGGTGTCTGTGTTATCCGCTGGTTTGTTGGTGAATCCCTCAGGTATTACAAAATCCACCACCATTTCATAGTGCAGCGGGGCGTTGGCGTTATACACTTTTACCTCATTCGCCCGGATTTCAACATCACTCGTTGTATTAGAGAGACGCAACTTGGCGAGCTCCGGCATGGGGTAGGTTTTTAACTTTTCGGCAATTTCATCGTACTCGACGTTACGAGGCATGTCCATTGCACCAGACCACCCACGAGTCTTCATTGCAGCTTCCGTGTCCTCTTCAGGGATCCAACCCCACAAAATAATGCGATTGAGAATGGGATCATAATTCTGCTTGGATGCATACCATCTGCCGTAGTCGACGTATGTCCGGCTGCGAGCAGGGTCCTCGAAGTAGACCGTTTTATCATCAGGATTCTTCATATAGTAACCATACACCCAATAGTCCTGACCACTGATCATTGTTGATACCTTCAAAAAGTATTCATCTCCCAGTTTGAAAAAGTCTGGACATTCAAGCATGTTGTCAAATTCGAATGAATTTTCCCAAATGGCATGTGAGAATCGGAAGTCTGAACGAAAATTGGGATCACTGGTAGCGAAAACAACAACCTGCGCTTCAGGCACACCAGCTGAATTATTAACACTGGCTACAAAAGCCACCAGCCACTCTGATGCGTTATCAGGGTTCACCCAGAAGTTCGTGGGGTCACGAAAGTGGTTCAGCCCAACAAGGCCAGGTACATCCTTCTCTGTCAATACAGGATTTGTGGGAAGCTTAACAAACGAATTGAGCGAACGTTTGCCATCAGATTGGACATCTTCCTTGGGTGGTAAAGCAATGCATTGTCGCTGCACGTCACCATCTGCAGCACACGTATACATTACAACGGGTGTCCCATCAGCGCCCTGCGTGATGGATCCACTGTACGCACCTCTGCGATCGTATTCATTATTGTTCTTTAGTGCAATGCCTTGATCCTGCCACTTCACATAATCCATCGAGGTGAAGTGGTACCAATTTATACTTCCCCACACCGAGCCCTGCGGGTTGTACTGCATGTACAGGTGCATCTGCTTTGTGACGGGGTCACGGTAAGGTCCGTTGGGGTCGTTGACCCAATTGGCGGGCGGACGCACGTGGAAGCGCGGTTCATGCGACGCGGTAACCGCAATCGCTAGCAGCAACAGCAGCAGCACGCACCATGTAGATGATATAATGCGCATTGTTCTTTTTAAGGAACTTATTGTCTGATTGGTCGTTCTCTCAGCTAGTCTACCACAAAATGAAGAAAAAAAAAAGATCCAATCAAGAAGGGTGGAAAAGAGAAAGAAAATAACAACAACAACAACAACAACAAATAGAGATGACTGTCAAATATTCAAACCCATTTATCGCGTGTGAATTCATGCCCCAGAGGGTTATTATTATTGTCACATTGTCTTCCCTGATTTATTCCCTTTTTTCCTTCCTTTCAAAAGATATCTTTCACTTTTTCCTTCACTGTATAGTTAACATTTCTCTGGTGTCATCCAAGACACTGTGTACCATTTTGACGTTACTGTTTTTTTTTTCTCTTAATTAAGTCAAATATGGTTGTGGAATTTAACATTTTAACTTCAATTTTAGAATTTCCCCAGAAATGCCATTAATCACTTTGGATTGAAAAAAAAAATAAAAGGAAATGTGCCCCATGCGCATAAAATAATTATTATTTTGTTTTGTTTCTTTTATTTCGTTTTGTTAAATTTCAAATATTATGATATATATATGAAAGGGAAAAAAAACACACGTCTGCAGAGGTCAGACTGGGTGAGGCATTTAGCAGCCATTCCAGTATACACCATGGAGCGCACAGATGATTTCCACTCGGACCACTCCTATGTTTCCATAACTTTTTATTGAACTCTTGAATACTTCCAAAGGCCTATTTTTGTTCAGAGTCCCACATGGCTATGCTATTCGAACCATTCCCACTTTGACAAAGGCTCATCTGCTCTCATCGTCAAAGTAGGTGCCTTCGCTCATGGGGTCATGTGCGGCCGTTAGCTCTTGAAGAATAGGGTCATTTGTAGGTGCTGTGTCAGGGTGTTTTGGTTGCCAATTTGCCCTGGCGCATTTTTACTGATGATCCAAGAATAATTCTCTTTCTTCATTATCGGCTCATTCCACACACAGAAATGCTGGTGATTCCTTAAAATACCCCGGAGAACTCACAATTCCTCTACATGGTGAAGATGGAAATGGGGAAAGAGTTCCCTCTCCTCGAAGGTTCAAACACCATCCATATGGTACTTCAGCTGCGGGGATAAAAAAATAATAATATTTTGGATTCGTCACGATACACCACCAACGCTGTAAATGCCCTTATATTGGTCATCTATTTCCACATCCTAAAGTTATGGACGTGTCAATGCAAACATCCTGTAAACAAGCTTGGTTGGAAGCTTACCTTTTTCTAAACCTACGCCTTTACAATAAAACCCCCAATATAGTGGTAATAGAAAAAAAAGGTAGCACTGTTTGTTTTAACCAGAGGACCGTAAGGTCAAAGTATTCACTTCACGTCTCTCTCTCTCTCCTTCAAAAAATATAAAAGAAAACAAAGAAGAGGTATTTTCTCTACATACCTCAGAGCCTCTGGGGCAAAAAAAGAGAAGATTCTAGTACACCACCGACTTCCCCCCACTAGATCAAGATGGAGAAAAGCAAAAATAAAAAAAAAAAAAAAATCACAAACCCTACTTTGCCTCCCGTCTACTATGCTGGTATACCCTTGTTACCGAGAACTCCTCTCACCTCTTTTCTTCTTCTAAAATATTGCAATCCCTCTCTACCACTTTCTCTTTTACTAAAAAAAAAAAAAAAAACGACAATAATCTCAGTTTCGTTCCCCCCATTTATTCTAATACGGAAGTGGAATAATGCGTTTTTCGCACATATAGTCATAAAGATGAGCAGAACGGAAAAGATCCAATCCTGAGGAAACGCGGACATCATAAACCGTGATTGTGTTACTTTGGGACTTTTCGGACATTTCTTGCTTGACACGAAGAAAGAGTGCTGGTGGGATATGGTTTTCACTGCAAAGTGCAGCCTCTTCTGGTGCCAAAGAAACAAAACCGCGCATATTCCGGATGTCAAGTGAACCACCCCACTTTATGTCAACAGTTCCATCAACTGGATGCACGTGTGATTCCTTTGATGCCACCATCCGCTCTTCAAGAATCTTTTCAACTGGGGTTTTGTAGTTAAGAAGACGCTTGAGTGCAACAAGCCAAGCTTCACAGTCACTGTCCGTATCACAAACAACTTCCAATGACTTTCCTCCTCGAAGCAAGAGAGCGAAAGAACGGTAATTGTTTAAACCGAGATTGAATGGACTGAGGTTCTGAGTGGGATCGTGACGGTACGTCCCGGTGTCAGTAACAGCTTCTTGACGCGTCTTCACCAATTGCGCTTCACTGCTGTAGTTGACGAAAGAAGTTGTATACAGACCAATGACAACTTTTTTGATGTCTTTAATCCATATTGTAACTGGAGGCTTCTTACGACTGATTGGAGCTCCTTGATGATCAAGTTCACAAGAGTGAATACGCTTACAATCCTCAGAAATAAAGTAGAAACGTTTGCGAACATTTCCTTTACTTGATATTTTCGTCATACGAATGCCATTACGTAAGTAGATAAGCACCTGATCAACAAGAGAATTGAGTTGTTGTTCTTTGGTAACAGCATCATTAAGTTTTTCCTGTTTCTTTGATTGGTAAGCTTCAAGTAAACGTTGACGGTATACTTCAAGTCCTCGTTCAAGTTTTTCTTTACGACCTTTTTCTTCTTCAATTTTGGAAAGATATGACTGTTTCTCTTGAGAGAAAACTTCATCAAATTGACGACGAATGGTCTCTGTTTCTTCTGGATTAACGGGAATATCTTCAAGAGAGATAAGTTTCGGTAAATACTCTTCAATAGTCTTGATATCATCCATGACAGCCTTTTCCGCTGCTTCTTCCTTTGATGTTGCTTGCTCACCATTTTTCTTTCGTTCTTCAGATAACATTTGAACTTGCTCAAGTACCTTTGCGTTGATCTCCTTAATCTGGTTGATCCACTGTTTGCGTTGACGGCGTCGTTCTTCCAGTACAGTTTTACGCATTGCCTGAATAGATTTCCTTTCTTTTACAATAACATCTCGTGCCTTTGCTTTATCAAGCTGAATCATCTCCAGTTGTTTCTGTTTGGCATCAATTGTAGCTTGACGTACATTAAGTTCTTGTTCAAGTTTTTGCATTTCTTCTTTTAACCTTTCAGAAGCACTTTCCTCATCTTGTTTCTTCTTGCGAATCTTTTCCAGTGTCTGTTCGTAGTCTTTGATGCGTTTCTCACGATCTGCTTGTAATACGGCATTCTCACGTTTTTTCTTCTCAAGTGTTTTTTCCAACTCTGCCAATGTTGTACCAGTTTTTGCCTCAAGTTCTTTAATGACCTTATCCGCATCCTGTTTAGCACGTTCACGAACCTGATTTAACTCCTTTTCACGTGCTTCTTCACGTTTAGATTGAATTGCATTTATTCGTTTCATTTCTTCTTCCTTGATATTGGGGATTGCCTTTGTCTGTTCATAAATACATGGTTTGTAATCATACACTGTGCGGGCAATCAGGAGTTCATCCCTTAGCTCCATCACGTCCTGATCAAGACGCCATTTATCGACTGAAAGATCCTTAATAGCTGAACCAATACCAGTACTGCTAAGAATGTTGGTGGTACGTTTTGTCATAGCAAGGCAATGGAAAGTCTCTTCAGCCCATTCAGCATCTGTGAAAGCGTGAATAATAAAATAAGTTTCAGTATCACCGTTAATATTATTGTTCGGATTGCCCTTCTCAGCATTATATGCACGACGTAATAACTGACTTAGTTTTGATCTGCCGAATGGAATACGCAGTCGATTACAACGGATACTTGACAAAATTCCTGCCGCAGAAAGAAGTGTTTTTTGTGCCTTTTCATACAGTTGTTGTTTGTTAACATCAATTCCACAAAGAACAGGACGTTCAGAATCTCCCAAAGCAACAAAAGTCATGGAGTTTGCGTCCATATAATCGGTAAATGCATTCTCATCATCATAGCGGTAAAGCTGAAGAACGACTGAATCAGGTAAATAGGGAGGAAGAGCTTCGAGTTCAGCTGAAGGTTGCCTTTCACACAAAACAGATGCGAAATATTGTTGATAGTTTTTAACAATAGTATTCATAGCCGAACGAACATCAGAACCCGAAGATACGCGAAGTCGTTCAACCATACGAACTCGTGGTCCTTCCTTTACTGAGTCAACAACGACTCCAAGTTCATTGCTGAGGTTAAGAAGGTCAACAAGGTGTTCTGTTGCTCCAATAGCGTAGCAGGAAATAACAAATATACCCTTGCCAGCACCAGATTGGACGGCCTCCGTGATCATTTTTGCTGCATAACCATCATTAGATCCAGACCCGTACATAAGTTGTCGTTTTGGTGTTGAACGCACTCCGTAACTGAAAACCACCTGATTCTGTCGATTGCGAATAAAATTTGAGGCGGCGTTACCAAATACCTTGCTTGAAAATGTACTTGACTGGGGATCTTCAAACGCCACATCAACGTTGAAAGATGATTCTGCGACTGGAAAACCAGCCTCTCTTAGAGGTTCAGGGCATCTGAATTGTACTGTCTTGCCATCCAATCTTAGCGACGAGGGTGCTCTTATTAGCGGCGATTTAAGTTGATGAGTGCAAAAAAAAATCTTTGCTTCCATTACTGGTTGATGAATTGTATACTCTGTCAGTTCCAATAATTAATAATAATAATAATAATAATAATAATAATAATAATAATAATAATAATAATAATAATAATAATAATAATA